AAATATATATATACAAACATATGCATATGTAGTATATTAGCGTGTAAAGTGTAAAAAGAAAATGATTTATGAGAACATGAAATTTAGTTAGTAGCCAATTAACAAAAGGATAATAAACAATACAACAAATTGATCTACTTACTATAAACAAAAAATCATACATATATATATACGACTATATATATGCATACTAATTACTAAAGACCATCGAGAAAGAACAACTGCGTTCGGTTGGATGTGTGTCTGTGTATGTTATAACTATGTATAATTATTATTTTTATTATTTAACTATTGCATGTGATTAATAATATTTAAGTTAAACGTAAACAAAACATATTATACTGTAACTTATGTATACCGCAACAACACACACTCACACAATGTGCGAAAAAAAAAAACAAAAATATTTAAGCAAATCATCTTTGTAAATCTATTCGAAGATAAAACCAATTGCAAAATGTGCACAAAAAAATTAAATGTACCACTTTTTAGACGCCTAAAAACCAATAAATAATTATGTAACAAAAAAGAGTCCAAATGTTTATTGAGAACGAACTTAAAGTAATTATGCATTTGCATATTTCGATAAATACATTTTGTAATACTCAATTGAGCAAACAATAAACGAGCACATTTCAAATTCAAATTTAACGCGCCAGAAACTTTTTCAGCGTTGCCACCACTGATTACACGATAAGCATGAAAAAATGCTGCCAACTTGTTATTCGATAGTTTCTATCGATATTATATTGTAGCACTGACCAAACAACACAGATTTTGCGGCGTGGAAAAACGTTGCTCTACATGTCTAGTCTATGTGTTGTTTGGTCAGTGATTGTAGATAGCTTGAAAATGCGGAGCATATACTAATAAAAACAATACACGGCTTCATTAAAATGCATAATTTTAATGCATTTTTATGTAATTTCTTTGCCTTATTATTAAGACTACATCATATACTAAAGTGTGTTGGTTTCGAGCGTTACAAAATTAAAAATATTACAGCATTGAGATCATGTTCTAGTCGCTATAGGGTGATGGGGTGTACACAGCATACGTAGTACGGCGAGAATATCGCTATGAAGAATATCAGATTTGCAAAAAAACTGTTCTTCACAAGAGTACGACACGCAGTCTAAGGAAGAGAGAGAAAGACAGTTAAATAACAGTTAAGTTAGACCCTTCACTGGACTTACTCCACGCGCAACGGGTACAGGACGAGCCAGAAATAACTTTCGTGCTATGCTATGCATGTACGCAATAAGCTCATTGAACATTTTCAGGCTGTGGGTTCTAAAACTTTTCGTTTTACTTAAAGATTTATTACAAATACGAATTTTGTTGGTTTGAATAAATGTTCGACTTGCCAAAAGGAATTACATTTAGATATCTCAATTATTATTTATTTTTGTTCAATATACAGTATCCAAAGCTAACTGAGTTTTCATTATGCATTTTGTGTGCTGAGGTCTGGCAACCCTGAGGCAGTCTCGCAGCTGGCACTAGTTCACAATGGAAAGCTATCGATAGTATCGGAAAAAAGGCGCGAACTCAGCATAACGCGCTGCCAGGCGAGAGCCAAACGGCGTTCTGTTGTATTTTGATAGCATTTTGTTGCAAACGGCGGCGGAGTAAAGATTAAATATTTATTAAATAATAATATATTCTGATAGAGTACAAATGGCGCGCCGTGACTATGCACAAGATAGAGGTAAACGGAAGACCTAAATGAAGAAAATTTGATATAAATTTACCATTAATTTTATTTGTAGAATCCATCAAAACATTTCTCTCCGAGTTCTGTAAAACTGACGATGATGGCAAAAAAGACTTCGTCTATGGCTCACAGCTGGTGAAGCTCGCCCATCGCGAGCAAGTGCTAATTACAATCGATCTGGACGACTTGGCAGAGTTCAATGAGAGTCTCGCCGAGGCGGTGATTGAGAATTGTCGACGCTACGTGTCGATCTTCAGCGATGTGATTGCCGAACTGCTGCCCAGCTATAAGCAGCAGGAGGTGCACGCCAAGGATGCACTGGACGTGTACATTGAGCATCGCCTGATGATGGATGCGCGCACGCGGAATCCCATGGAGCAAAGGGATGAACGCAATACATTTCCCGCAGAGCTGATGAAGAGATTGTGAGTAGAGTGAGGATCGACCTACTGTTAAGGCATCATAATTACCTTTCTGCTTCGCAGTGAGGTCGGCTTCAAGCCTCTGTCCACGGAGAAGGCGCTCTCCATACGCGAGGTGAAGGCCCAGCAAATAGGCAAATTGGTCACAGTTCGCGGCATTGTGACGCGCTGCACCGAGGTGAAGCCCATGATGGTGGTGGCCACCTACACGTGCGACCGCTGTGGCGCTGAGACCTATCAGCCAGTCAACTCGCTCTCCTTCATACCGGTCCAGGAATGCCCCTCCGACGACTGTCGAGTGAACAAGGCGGGCGGTCGCCTCTATCTGCAGACGCGTGGCTCGAAGTTCGTCAAGTTCCAGGAGCTAAAAATGCAGGAGCACAGCGACCAGGTGCCAGTGGGTCATATTCCGCGCAGCATGACGGTGCTCTGCCGTGGAGAGGTCACACGCATGGCCCAGCCTGGAGATCATGTTTTGATCTCTGGAGTATTCTTACCTATGGTGCGCACCGGCTTCGCCCAGATGATACAGGGTCTGCTCTCAGAGACCTTCCTGCAGGCACACGTAAGTCCAGTGGACAACTCTTGAGTGCACCCTTGATATACCATATGATATTTCCCCAGCGCATCATCTGCATCAACAAGAACGACGACATCACGGACAAGGACTGTGAGCTGACGCCCGCCGAGCTGGAGGAGCTGGCCCAAGATGATTTCTATGAGCGCCTGGCCACCAGCTTGGCCCCCGAGATCTACGGCCATTTGGATGTGAAGAAGGCGCTGCTGCTGCTGCTCGTGGGCGGCGTGGATAAACGTCCAGATGGCATGAAGATTCGTGGCAACATCAACATCTGCCTGATGGGTGATCCCGGTGTGGCCAAGTCTCAGCTGTTGGGCTACATAAGTCGCCTGGCTATACGCTCGCAGTACACCACAGGTCGTGGCTCCTCGGGCGTGGGTCTGACGGCAGCTGTCATGAAGGATCCGCTCACTGGCGAAATGACGCTCGAGGGCGGCGCCTTGGTCCTGGCCGATCAGGGCGTCTGCTGCATCGACGAGTTCGACAAGATGGCAGACACAGATCGTACGGCCATACACGAGGTGATGGAGCAGCAGACCATTTCCATCGCCAAGGCGGGCATCATGACCACGTTGAATGCGCGTGTCTCCATCCTGGCTGCTGCCAATCCCGCCTTCGGTCGCTACAATCCCCGTCGCACAGTGGAGCAGAATATCCAGTTGCCGGCGGCTTTGCTGTCGCGTTTCGATCTGCTCTGGCTCATCCAGGACAAGCCCGACAGAGACAACGATCTGCGTCTGGCCAAGCACATTACGTATGTGCACAGTCACAGCCGGCAGCCGCCCTCGAGGGTCAAGTCGCTGGACATGCATCTGATGCGCCGCTATATTAATCTGTGCAAGCGCAAGAATCCCACCATTCCCGACGAGCTCACCGACTACATTGTGGGCGCCTATGTGGAGCTGCGTCGCGAGGCTCGCAACCAGAAGGACATGACCTTCACATCCGCTCGCAATCTGCTCGGCATTTTGCGTCTGTCCACGGCTCTGGCGCGTCTGCGTCTCTCCGATCGCGTGGAGAAGGACGATGTGGCCGAGGCGTTGCGTTTGCTCGAAATGTCCAAGGATTCCCTCAACCAGATACACGAGCACCAGAAGGGACAGTGAGTATTGCCCAAAGCCTCCAACTACGAATGATTCTCATTTCTTCTCCCAACTCTTGCAGCGTGCCAAACACTTCGGATCGCATCTTTGCCATCGTGCGCGAGCTGGCCGGCTCCGGCAAGGCCGTGAAGATCGCTGACATAATGGACCGCTGCACGACGAAGGGCTTCAAACCGGACCAGGTGGACAAATGCATCGACGACTACGAGGAGCTGAACGTCTGGCAGGTCAACATGGGCCGCACCAAAATAACATTCATATAAAGCCCCCACTCTGGGGCCTATTTTATCTATTTCTACATATTTGTTAAGCACATCTCAAATACATTTCATCATACCTCATGTTTCATTAAAGTTAACAAAATAAATAAATTCGCATTTGTCTGTAATTTGTCATGCATA